CAGTGGTGCCCCGAGTGAGGCAGTGGAAATATTGTTTTCGCTTCCCTTTGTTAGGTCTGCCGTCACCTCTGGTTTCCTTGTTGGCCTTGTTTTCTGCCGTTACCTCTGGTTTCCTTGTTGACCCTGTTCCTTTGTTAAGTTACGTTGATTTGGTTGAGCACGTAAAGGCTCATAGTTTTAATGCTCTTACTTTCTTGTAAGAAAGCAATTCGGAAAGTTAAACAAGTGAAAACAAGAATCAAACGGACAACCCTGTTGATGTAACATGTCCGGGTAAGGATGCAGTTTCCAAATGTGAGGCGTTGGACATTTCTCATGATTCTTTAACCTGTGAAGAAAATGAGCCAAATAGCAATTAACTTAAAACAACACGCATTTACATGCTTCTGGGCCAATCGAAATTGTAACACCTTCATACAGTAATCAAATGAGAAAAGGTGTAATGCTTTGCTCAAAACTCAGATGTTGACAGTGATTAATGTAGCTTAACTTTAATTGATCATACTAACGAATATCATTCTACATTTGATCAATTCGATGAAGAAAAAGATAGAAAGAATTTTGAATTCACATCCCGTTTATAAAGCTTGTGGCTCAGGCAATCTCCTATGCCAATTTTACCAAAAACAATATAATTCAGCAACAGACCAACATTACATTCAGCCAACATTACATTTCAAACCATGGGATTGACAAGGAAATGTTGTCATATAAAGATCATATCCGTAAGAACAAACGTTATCCCATCTTTCACGTTTTGATATCAATATCATTTCAAATAACAAAAGATGGTCAATTCGAATGAAACAAGCAGCGGTTTTGCAAATTGACAAAAATCGGGGCAGCCGTCCATGATTTTGAATAATTAATTCAATCTTTGACCATGGAACAATTTTCTGTTCTCCTTTTTAAAAAAACCTTCATATGACCACTAGATAGGTTTTTCGTAAATTACCCTCAATGACCTTTAAACTTTTTAAACGAAGTCCTTCAGTCTCTATATGTATATGTACGAAGTTTGATCTTTTTAAACTCATTGGGTTTTGATTTATAACTAAAAATCTGCGTGGAATGAAGTTGAATAGCACTGTATTGTTTGGAATTGTGTCAGGCTCCAGCACATCAAACTTGAATTTGACTGATTTCTGGGCATCGGTGTTGTTGATAGTCGTTGTATAATTAGAAAAACCGAAAATTCTCTCATGCTCGTGCATAGAACCTGCAGATTTTATATTTTTACAACTTGTATATTTTATTTGAGAGTTCCAAGTGGTTTGCCTCTTTTGAAACAAGTTGCGTGTAATCACTCCCAAATGATACTGCTCTGTAACGATCAAGTTTACATTCAATGGTTACCTTTTGTGTCTCCGCTGATATATTAATACCATTCAACTTCAGTAGTGCAAGATCAGCGTGTCAACATAAAACTCGGTCAATGTACACTCCTTTTGAAGCAAACTTTCGTAAGATGTGGTTGGATAAATCAAAATTATAAAATCAGATTTCTCTATTTACTTTCCTTTATGAGAAGAAATTGATTGTATAAAAGACCAGTATTTATTGAAAACTTAGATTCTGGCTTCAGCTCTTGATCGACAACTGCAAGCAGATTGTTAAAGAAAGATACGTGTATACCATCATTTTCAATGAGCGTTCCTAACTTGGCTGTAATCGTCAAATCATCCAGTCGTAATACCAGATTTGATAAAAATTGGTCAAGGTCAGCTTTCGGTTTTAACTTGAACATATGAGAGTTGACGCATGAAACATGTTGAATTAGTCCAGCTTTGTTCACTATTGCTTTGACAGGTCTTGTATGTTAAATAAGAAAACGGTTTAATTGTGAAAGTTTTGAGCTATAATTACACGAAAATGCGAACACTTTTTCAATACATTACCAGGCTATTTAGCTATTTTTATCGATGTTTTTTGCGATTTTCTCTGAAACCAAGAGTCAGAGAGACACGAAACTTAAGTGTTATGAGTTTGAGCGATAATCAACTGTCATAGAAAAAGATCAAGGTCATTCAGGTCATCGGTAAAATAACACGTTTCAAGGTCATCTCAAGGTTATTCATAAATGACATGAAGATACTACTGACAAGTTTTCGGATTTCTATTGTCACGTTTGTTTTTGTGACGGTTTTAGATATGGCAAATTTAAGTGTTATGGAAGTAATTCTACTAAATGTTCAAAAGTGTACACAAGTTAAGAATTGATTTATAATTGAGGGTGAACAATGAAGAGAATAATATATATAAAGAAGAAGAAGATATAAGAATGCGAATAAATAGAATGAAATTGATGAGAATCAATTGAACACAAATTAAAAAGAGAAGAATTGATGAAAATCAATTGAGCACCAGTTAAAAGAAAGAAGATTAGTTAATTCATAAAATGAACTTGAGTAGTCAAATGAAAATTTAACTCTGAAGATTCTGATTGATTTACTTTTGATTTTATACTGATGTCTAATTTTCTTCACTTATTCGATTAAATTAGTTCAATGGAAACCTTTCACTAATTTTTTCATGCAATTGCCCTGTAAATCTTAACTAATTGATTACTATTAAATTGGTTAATTGATTTGATTTTCTGGAGTTTACTGAGTTAACCAGAACTGATTTCCGATAATTAATGGTCTAACTTTAGATGTCATTTTTTCCTGGATCGATTATTTAACTAATGATCTTAATTGATTATTGTTTGATAACCTTATTAATTTACTGACCTTTTACAGAAAAAAGAATAGAATTGAAAGAAAAGATATAAAGGAAAGAGATTAGTCAGGCTAGCTGGTTAATCTACATATAAACCTTTGAGATAAATAAAGTAAACATTGTTAGGTTAAATGAATCAAATTCTATTGATGAGTTTTTGATGATGAGTTTCTGGTGATGCGTTTCTGGTGATGAGTTTCTGGTGATGAGTTTCTGGTGATGAGTTTCTGGTGATGAGTTTCTGGTGATGAGTTTCTGGTGGTGGTGACGATTTTCAATGAAGTTTAACAGTTGAGGTTCATTAATAATAATTATGATTGAATTGATATGATTTCTGATTAACTAACTGAGATTCTTGTGGCTGAGATTCGATGGCTGAGATCATGGCAGCTGACGGCTTAATTTATGGACTAATTGAATGTTATCTTTATTGGTCGTTTTAGTGATGAAAGTAGGTTAACACCAGGCTACCTGGTGTTACCCTAATTAAAGAAGAAGATATAAAAAAGGGGAAGAGAGTATCCACCGCAACTGGCATCAGTTGCGGAAAGGACACGATAATTGGTTAGGAAAAGAGAGAGAAATAAACCAATAATTGATATTGGTATTTACCTTAATGTCGCGTCCATATAACCAACCAAACACAATCGACTAGTGAATTTTTCTCTTCCAATCCATTGTATCTGGAACAATCTTCACAATCAAGTGCAAAAGTTTGTAATGGAGGATCACCAATTGGTTTGAGAACACACTTATCGGGACTTAAAATACCCGCCATCATAACTTGACCTGGATTTCTTAAACACCTAAATTCAGATCTTTTTTGATGTGTCTTCTAAACACTGGATGTTGCTTTAATTTTAAATTTTGGATTATCACTAGTTACCATGTTATTTATAACTAATTCAGGATTTACAAATTGACTTCCATGTCATTTACTCAGTTGGTATTTTATACAATTTACAGCCGTATGTTGAGATTGATGACAAAAAGAACATGATGTACAATTTCTTGTACTGTGTTGGATGGAATAACAGATTAAATAGTCACACGGTGATTCTTGATAACAACCAGATTTTATCGCCATTTTCAAATCGTGAAGAAGGTAAATTAAATTTTTGTCTCTGTCCCATTCGCAAAACTCCATGCTCGTTTAAATTGACATCCAAAATCTTGTATCTGGATGAACTTGAAATGTTTTCAAGAAATTGAAGATCGATATTTTATCCTTTCTCAAATCAGGTTGATTAAACGCATTTGGTATGAAGTTCCAACGTTCTTCTCGAAGATCGTCTCTTTCTTTGATGGTTTTGTTTAAGTTTGAAGTGAGAGAGGAGATTGTGGATTCGATGGAGTTGCGCTGAAGCTGGTGTTTGTAGAGTTAAGTTGAATACCAGAATTCTTTGGTGTTTCATACTCGATAATCGATTCTGCATCGGGGTCTATTCTTTCAATAACAGTAGTAGCTGTAAACGAAAGCCGATAATTGGGATATGAATTCACTGGTTGAAGTAGTTATTTTCTTGTTTATTTACTTGCTATTACACTTAGACAAATTGTTTAACATATATAATTCAATTACAATGTAATGAGAGAGAGAGAGAGAGAGAGAGAGAGAGAGAGAAGGTAAGTCTCAACACTGAGACTATTCCGTTCTCTTAAAGGGTTAGTTAGGAACTGATGATGATTCTCCTTTCTCTCCGGGTTTTCTTATATACCCGAGGGAGAAAGGAGAGAAAGGGAATAGGAAGAAAGAGAAATAGAAAGAGTGATGAGGATGATAACTTTTATGGTTATCATAAAAGACTCAGCAAATAATCTAAAATTTCAATCTTTTTTATAATGTCACCAGAGTAATTAACCTTTTGGTTAATTACTCTGTTTTTCTTTTACATCTCCCCAGGGCTATTGTGAACAGTCTCTGTTCAAGTTGAGTTCCATGTTTTTCCCCTTAACACTAGGTTTCTAAGATCATTCCCTGTTGGAAACTCTTTCTTTTCCTCTCTCATCTTTAGGTATTTTCGATATAATTTTAAGGTGTATCGGGTATCAGAGTCTGGGCTATGACCGCTCAGGGGATTATCTTGAGCTTGTCGTTTGAGGCCAATCGTTCCAGGAAAAGTAATCGACTACCATTTCTAACTTAACATTTCGAATAATTCCTGAACATTTACATGTTCTATTGAATTATTCTCTAGATCTGTTTGGCTGATTTTAAACGTCTCAGGTCTAAATTCTGTTGATCAAATGTTAATAATCTTTATCCTTACATAGGAGAGTATATTATCCCTTACTGTTTCTAAGGGTTGGGAATGAAATAGAATTTCGTTGGTATGGATTCCAGTTATGGGTGTTGATAGGATTTTTATTGCTTCGGTCTTAATGTAATCGAAATAAATGGTTTTTGCCCCCAGACCCTCACTACTGAACCAGCCGGTCACACAGACGGAGAGAGCGTGATTGTCCGCAGAAACTCCTTCAGTGTCCACGGCCAATGTTGGCTTGGGAGGTGAGCCAATGGCTCTCATTTGCTCGACAATCGATTGGGATGGAACTAATCCTGGTGTTTTCCAGAAAGGTTTATCTAATTGGATTCTACTTGGTTTTACCCTGGCTTGTCTTCGGTTCTTTTTATAATTGAATGAGCTGACGGAACCTACGGTTGGGCTCTCCGATTGCTGGGGATTTAACCACAAGCAATTTGCTAACTTGTGGTCTATCTGCTGCAAAGCCAAACAAGCAATCGCAATCGATTGTCTGGTGATTTGGTCTAAAACAAATAGAACAATGTTCTTTATCTAATATTCTCCACGTTGTACTTGGTGGTAAACTATTTTTCAGTAGAAAGATTGATTTTTTTAGGGTTTCTGGACTTGTGGCTGAAATGGTTACCTTAGAAAACTTCCTTGCTTTGAGTTGCGTACACTGAAAGATTGTATTCTCAATTTTCAGCTTCCCTAAATGAGGAGCACCATATTGGTTGAAAAGAGACCTGAGATGTTTAGATTCGATCATAAAATGAGCTAATTGATTATGAATATTACTCTTAGCTCTTTCCCTGTTTCGATTGGTCGACTGAATTGAATTGGATGAAGAGGATTCAGTTTGGGACATAGAGGAGGAATTTGGAATAGTTTCAATAATTGTCGAGGAATTGGGTGTTGATAAGGATTTTTCTTTACGAATTGATTTCCCCACTTGCTCCGTCCTTTGCGTTATCTTACGTTTGCCTCCTTCAACTTCTTTGTCATTTTCGATTTTTCGGCCACGTATTCGGACCAATTCCCGTGCAATTGCCTCTCTGTCGGCCTTTTCTTGTTCGGCTAAAAACATCTGAAAGATTAGAAAAAAAAAAGGTGAGGTTAAATGAGAATTCTGGGTTATTTTTGGTTTGAGGTTTTGTTTAATAAAGTGAACTTAGTGGTAAGTTCTCTGAGTCGTTTGTCTCTTTGTAAATAGAATTTTTTGATCGATTTGGCATATAGGTAGTTACGACTACTGGATTAGCAAAAAGAGCTTTGACAAATTTCAAGATTAATGTTAGCAAAATTGTGATTGCAATGATCGACAAGATGATAGTAGTTGTCTCATTTTTCAATTCGTCAAACCATGAAATTGATTTCCTTGAATTTTTCAGTTCGTTGGTCGCACTTTCCAGCAATTTAATTTTTGTTGGTTCCAGTCTCACAATATCGGATTTATCAGGGACAATTCTCCAATTTATCTTGGTTGACCATGAGGTTACTCTTTCTGTTCTAATATAAGTTATATGGGAAACCTGATATGGCTCGTTATTTAATTCGAATGGTAAATCTTTGGGTAGTCTTAGTACTTGGTTTGGGCAAATCTTTGTGACCTGAATAAGGTGATGTTGTGACCTGGACAATAAATATGGATCTCGTCGTTCACGACCTTGACTTGGGGTCTTTTTATTTGGTAACCGAGTTTGGTTGTCTCGATACAACTCACTTCTTTCCATTTCTCCAATTGTAGCACTGATTTACAAAATTGTCCGGTGATGAACATAAGTTTCCTTTGTTTAATTTCCTCGTCAGTAATTTCGCACATTTCACCATTTGTCCTGTTCACCACCACATATTTGGGGCCATCATATTTTAGGACACAGAGTTCTGTTGAATTTTCTTGTGTGACTATTAAGGTGAAAGGGTCGGCCTCCTGTACCACGAGGTCAGTATCATAAAGTTCCACTGTGAAGGTTAGCTTGATGAAAAATGAATCTGTGGATTTTTTTAATTCCAAATTGGGTCGATGGATTGTATCGAGCGGGCAAGCCTCTCCACAAGGTAGGTAGAAATTCATCAGATTTATAAATTCGTTTGGTAGTTTTCCTTGTTGTTTTATCGATCTTTCTGTGAGTTCTATTGTTTCTTTTAATCGTTGAATTTTGTAGACCATTTCCGCGGATTTAAACGCTACTAAGGGGGTGGTTTTGTGAAGTTGTCTTAGTCCCACCTTGAGGTCAAACATCTGTTCAGCAAACTTCCTCAGCTCTTTTCGATGTTCTGAGGCGACCTGAAGATTTGCATCGGCAAACTTGTGAGTTATCTCGTCCTCCGTGTGTGCTTTAGTTCCGGTAAAGAGGCCAGCAAGACTTCCCACACCAGCGGACAAGGCGGTAATTATCAGAAGAGTTGTGATGGCGATCTCTCTCTTCCTTTTTAATTTAGTTTCATTTTTGGGGCGATTGAATATTGGGTCCAACTGGTTGTTTATATAATCGTGGCAATATTCTCTCGTATATTCGAGGATGTCGACAGATTTAGAAAAATTAAAACAAATTTCGGGTGTACATAATTCTCGTAAATAGTCCGAATCTCTTATTGTGTCTCTACAATCCCGGTATCTTGTGTCTGATGGGAAATCGCAGCCAGGTATAACATATTGCATCGAGGGATTTTTTTGGAGTTCGATGCATGGATTGGTGATTAAAATGGTGTAGTTAATATTTTGGTTTCCCTTTAGGAACTTATTATTTTTCTCGCGCCAAATTAATTTTGAACCATACTCGAAACATGGCATTGGAGTCAAAAAACAGAGAGTGAGAAGCGTGACTAATGAGACACTTGAGCGACTTTGTGTTTTACTTTTCAATTGATTCCTCTTTGCTGGTTGTGAACTTGCTAAATCAGCTTTTATTTGGGAAGCATGAACTTGGATTGGCTCCTCCTTTCCTCTCTGGATGAGGTAAGTGGTGTTACCAATCTTCTGGATTACTTTAAATGGTCCTTCGTATGGAGAGTCAAACTTGTTGACCTTTGAGAGTTTCCGGTGATAAACCTGATCATTTATTTCAAATATTTTTGTTCGCTTTTTATTATCGTGATTTAGCGCTTGTTTTTCTTTTGCTTCGGTAGAGAATATTCGCGCCGTTTCCTTTATCGTTTTCCAATCGTTTGAAATGAATTTGACATAATCGTCAAGGTTCTGTTGATCGGGTGATGAGTTTATTTTTAGATCGATCGGGAAAGTGGGTTCTCTTCCATAGAGAAGGTAAAACGGCGATGCTTTGGTGCTTGCGTTAATCGAGGTGTTGAAAGCGAAGGTAACCAAGGGTAGTACTTGACTCCATCGATTTGGAGTTTGATTACAATAATGAATTAATAATTGAATAATTGTCCGATTCGTTCTCTCGGTTAAGCCGTTTGTTTGTGGATGGTAGGGGGTAGAGAATTGCCACTTGGAAGCCATGAATTCACTCAGTTTTTGGGTTACCTCTGAGGTAAAATTTCGTCCCTGATCGCTGAGTATCGTTCTCGGGCAGCCGTGCCTCGAAACGATATTATCAATCAAAAACCTGGAGGTGATGTGAGAGGTCTTGTGTGATAAAGCTCGTGTCTCAGCCCATCGAGTGAAGTAATCAGTGGCTACGATTATATATCGTTTTCCTGAGGAAACTGGTAAAGGGCCTATTATGTCGATTCCCAATTTTTCAAATGGATTACCAACATTGATGGATTTCAAGGGGGCAGTAACCTTGCTCCCTTGTTTATTAATAAGACAAGTTTTACATTTTTTAATGTAATTTGTTATGGTTTTATTCATTTGATGCCAATAGTACTTTGAGCGGATTCGATTGTATGTCTGGTAGAGGCCACCATGACCAGCGAGAGGATCATCATGGAATGATTTCATGATTATGGGAATTAACTTTTCTGGGAGAACGGTCACCCATTCGTGACCATACTCAGTTTTAATTTTTCGTTGCAAAAGTCCTTCTCTCATTCGATGAAAATTGGTAATTTTCTCTCTTTTTTCTTTACTCAAATTTTTCAAATCGTTTAATTGTTGTATCTTTGCTTGAATAAACGGGTCGGATCTTTGTTCATCCAGTAAATCATATTCCAATTCGTTCGTTTTAATTATCGGAAGGGTGAAGATTTCGTCTCCTTGGTCGTAACTTTCGTCGTTAAAGGTTGAGTCGAAGGTAGGATATCGGCTTAAACAATCGGCGTCTTCGTGGATTTTCCCTGATTTGTATTTGATCTCGAAGTCAAATGATTGGAGAATGAGGGTGTATCTCATGAGGCGAGGTGGTAGTTTTGATTTCGAACGTAAAAAACAGAGGGCGCAATGGTCTGTTACGATTTCAAATTTGATGCCGTCCAGATAATGTCGAAACTTTTCGAATGCATAAATGATGGCAAGGCATTCTTTGTCGGAAATCGGGTAATTTAATTCGGCTCCTCTAAGTTGACGGCTGGCGAAAGCTACGGGTTTCCATTTACCGTCGTGTTGTTGTAGTATAATTCCTCCTAGGCCAACGTCAGATGCATCGGTCCTTAATTGGGTAGCGAGCGATGGATCAAAGTGTTCGAGGACTGGGGCTGAACAAAGTTTAGCCTTTAATTTGTCGAAGGCATCGATTTGTTCAGTCTCCCAAACAAATGGTGTTTCTTTTCGGGTTAATTGAGTTAACGGCCTCGCTATTTTTGCGAAATCCAGGATGAATTTTCGATAGTACGAGCATAGAGCTACGAAAGATCGTACATCTTTGAGGTTTCTTGGTGATGGAATTTTCTATGGCCCTCAGTTTTTCTGGATCGGGTTCTTGACCAGCGGCACTTATGATGTGTCCCAAATACAGTATTTTTCTTTTAAAAAAATGACATTTTTCAGGTTTTAAAGTTAAACCAGCGGCCAGTAGCCGAGTAAAAACGGCCTTCAGGCGGACCAAATGTTCATCGATTGTTTTACTGAAAATGATGATGTCGTCGATGTATACGAGACATGAATTATATTTGAGTCCCGCGAGACAAACATCCATTAATCTTTGAAACGTCGCTGGTGCATTGCAAAGTCCAAACGGCATTGTTCGATATTCATACATTCCAAAGGAGGTGATAAAAGACGTTTTTTGTTGATCTTCGGGTCTAAGTTCGACCTGGTGGTACCCGCTTCGTAAGTCAAGTAGACTGAAGAATTGAGCTCCTTGTAGGGAATCTAATGAGGTGTTGATATCGGGGATCGGATAGGCATCCTTAACGGTAATCGCATTTAACTTTCGGTAATCCACACACAATCGCCAATCTTGGGTCTTCTTGCTTACGAGAACAACTGGTGAGCTCCATGGTGAACAGGATTCGACGATTATATTATCATTGATGAGTTCACTGATTATTTGTTTGGTTATTTCTCGTTTGGCGGCACTTTGTTGATACGGGACCTGTGCTATTGGACTGTGGTCACCGGTTTCTATCTTATGAGTAAACAAATTGGTCTTCCCGAGTTCACTTTGATCGATGGCGAATACTTTACGATATTCACCTGCCAGGTTATTCAGTTGGGTTCGTGCTGACTCAGGTAATTCTTCATCTATATCTAATTGTATTTTGGACGATTCGATCGTAAGTCCACAACAAGAATGATATTGATAATAGTCATCTTCAGATTCAGTTTCGGCATCAGTGAGAGTTAATTCTGAACCTGATTCTGTTGTAGATTCTGACTCTGATTCTGATTCTGATTCTGATTCTGATTCTGATTCTGGTTCTGATTCTGATTCTGGTTCTGATTCTGATTCTGATTCTGATGTTACTATCATGACCTGGGGTTTGTCTTCGGCTATCTTAATCTTGCCTGTCTGACAATTGATGCTGATTTTGGCTTTGGATAAAACATCCTGACCGATTAAGAGGTTAAACTTTTTTGGCAGATTCTCGACGATTTGGATGTTAGTTTTAATTAACAGGGCAGATTTGCCATCACTAATTCTTAGATTAACTAATGTTTCACCTAGTACTCTTAGTGGTTTACCGTTTGCTGCAAACGGGGTGGGACCGGTGTAAGTTTCCTGTTTGAGGTTTAATTGGTTAGCAAATCTCTCGGTGATTAGGGTTAATTCGGACCCTGTGTCTAACATTGCATCGGTCTTTAGATTATTGATTTTACTTTGTAGATTAAGTTCTGGGAATTAATTGAACAGACCAATTGAACTTTTGGCTTCTCTTCGGTTTCTACTTCGAGGTGTTGGTCATACTGATCGGTGGTTATGGTTTTCACAAAGGTTCTATTTGGTGATTGTTTAACTATATTTCTCAGATCCTGAGAGGTGGTCTTATTGGTTGAATCTTTGTTTCGCCAATTATCTGAATTTTCTGGTTTTGCGGTTTGTTGGTTATTCTGATTCATGTTACGATCAAGAGGGTTGAATTGCTGATTAAAAATTTGGGTTGAATGGCTGTTGGTTCTGACTTTGATGTTGATACGGTGGAAATTGGAGATTGGGAAAATTTGGTTGAGTTGGATACGATTGAGACTGGAGGGAACCTAGTTGTAGGTCTCTGGCCTTTTTCCTATAATCTTTCTCATTATGGTTTCTCTTATTACAATAACCACAAATTTCTCTTGGACGATCATCAGGGATTCTATTCAATTTTTCTGATAATTGATTGATTGTTTGTTGCATTGTCTTGATTGATTCTATGAGGTGAGAATCTGGGGATGCTGGTAAAATCTGACTGATGGGGTTAGAGAAATTGGCTCGATCTGCGACTCTACTGGCTTCGATGTGATCATTAATTGATTTTGGATTTTGTAATGCAATTCCATAGTAAATAGATGGTAATAATTTTTCTCTAATCATTCCTACAATGACTGTCTCAGGCATTTTCTCGTCTATCTTTTGGCAAAGATCTAGTATCTCGTAAATGAAATTAGCTGAGGGTTGACCTGGTTTTTGTCTTAACTTGGACAATCGTTGAGAAAGGTGAGCTCGGTAATCGGCTGAACACAGACCCTGAATCAGTTTGGTTCTTAGCTGTAAGTAATTAGAAGGTTTTTCACTCGGACCGAACCTGCCTGATATGAAATTATACCATTTTCTTGCACTGCCTTGAAGGTGAATTGGTAGAGCCCTGAACATGTCGATTTGAGTCATACCGATTGATTCGGCTAATGTTTCGAATCTATTGATCCACTCAATGATGTCTGACCCATCGTCTCCAGTGAATGGTAGAAAATTCATTGGAAGATTCGGGACATGGATAGAGTTAACATTTGTTTGGCTAGTTGAGGTGTTGATTCATTCATTCTTTAATCTTGTTTGGAAGACTGGAAATGATAGCTTAAGAAAGGTGTAATTAATCAAGGTCTCGGTTGTTTTCAATTGAAGGTTAATTGAGAAGAAATTTCAATTAGAATCTCAACACTGAGATATATAATTGATTGAAAGCAAGAATATGGAGGAAATTCAATTAGAATCTCAACACTGAGATATATAATTGATTGAAGGTTAATTGAGAAGAAATTTCAATTAGAATCTCAACACTGAGATATATAATTGATTGAAAGCAAGAATATGGAGGGAAATTCAATTAGAATCTCAACACTGAGATATAAAATTGATTGAAGGTTAATTGAGAAGAAATTTCAATTAGAATCTCAACACTGAGATATATAATTGAATCGGGTAAGTTTGAAAGGAGAGAGACTCTGGAGAGAAGGATTTGAAACGTTTTTACCGTTAAATGGACTTGACTTCCTTGATGAGACTCGCTATTTCCACTGGAGACGTGATCTTACATTCCCATCCTCATCGTGGGCTCCATGTAAACGAAAGCCGATAATTGGGATATGAATTCACTGGTTGAAGTAGTTATTTTCTTGTTTATTTACTTGCTATTACACTTAGACAAATTGTTTAACATATATAATTCAATTACAATGTAATGAGAGAGAGAGAGAGAGAGAGAGAGAAAAGAAGGTAAGTCTCAACACTGAGACTATTCCGTTCTCTTAAAGGGTTAGTTAGAACTGATGATGATTCTCCTTTCTCCGGGTTTTCTTATATACCCGAGGGAGAAAGGAGAAAGGAATAGGAAGAAAGAGAAATAGAAAGAGTGATGAGGATGATAACTTTTATGGTTATCATAAAAGACTCAACAAATAATCTAAAATTTCAATCTTTTTATAATGTCACCAGAGTAATTAACCTTTTGGTTAATTACTCTGTTTTTACAGTAGCATTTTGTGGTATCGTCTTACGTAATTTGTATTAAGCGAAAGATAACTGATTTTTATTATGCATTTTCTAAACAGTAAATAGGGGGAAAAATAAAATTATTTGTTATTAAAATATAATTAAAATGAAAAATTAACTGAAGATGATGATGGTGATGGTGATGAGGATGATAATGTTGAAGAAAGTGATGAAGGTGTTAATATGATGAGGGTAAATTAGTTATAAATTTGATCCTTATTTTTGTACCAATTTGGTATTAATATTCCTTTTATATCTTTATTGGTTTTAGGTATTTCAGGATTATGCTCTTTCATTTCAATTTCTTCATTGATGAAATCTGATTGAGTTAATCTAGGTCTTGTATAGGGCAAACGAAATTGAATTGTCTTGCAAAGACGAATTAAGAGATAGATCAAAATAAATGAAATTAAGATTAATGAGAAAATCATCCACTTAGAATGACCGTCTTGAATTTGTGGAATTGATTTAAACTTAGTTATTTCTAATTTGGGCAATAAATCTGAACAATCTATCCCAGCGAAAACTTGTTGATAAATCCAAACATAGTGATTTGGGTCAATGATATTTGACTTGACACATTTTAGCATTAGCATTTAAACATTAGCTTTGGATATTGAAGGAGACGGTATTCTATTCAATCAATTTATCTTAACGTGCAAAGCAAAGCTCATAGAAACCTCAAAACTTGTCAGCAGTATGAATGAATATTCTTCGTTGTTGAATCACCTTCAGATGACCTTGAAACGCGTTATTTCACCGATTAACGAATCACCTTGATCCTTTGATATGACAATTAAGTATCGCTCAAACTCATATCACTCAAGTCTCGAGTCTCTTTGACTTTTAGTTGCTGATAAAATCGCAAAAAAACATCGGTGAAAATAGCTGAATAGCTCTGTAGTTTTTGAAGGATTTTTCACTATAACTCAAGGATGACGCGATTGTTAAATAAGATATTTGGCAATAAAATTAATGAAATTCAATCTTGATTAATTTAATATTAATAAATTCAAAATGTGGTCTCTAAAAAATACTTTTAATTCATCTTTTCGGTTGGTTTCAAGTTGTAATCCCAGTCTTTTAATTGAATCGTAATATGATAAGAAGCACGATACATTGCATGTAAATCCACATGGTTATAACGAGCAACAGAAAGTATCATCGTTTATATGTATTGTTTTATATGAGGAGTACTATGAAAAGAAAAGAAAAAGATGTTAATAAAATAAAGATAAAAGATTAGAAAAAACGCGCCATTTCAAAGCTTTAATATACGTTGAAGATAGATAAGAGAATGGTAATAGCAAAGTGAAGGAAAACGATAATGCACTCTTTTCTTTATTTAATTTCATCATCTAATCTTTATTACCAATCTTTGTCCGGAGCATATAAATTATATACATTTAAACTCTTTTTAAGACAAACTTTTAATACTATCCTAAGGAAATAATTAAGGAATTATAAAAAAAGGAAAGGAAAAGATCAATTTCAAATCTTGATACAATTAAAATTAATCATGATTATAGCCTGAGGACCAATTTAAGAATTCAGAATACTATAGATAATCTTGTGTACTTAAAGTAATAATTCATTGATAAATTCAAAGATAAAATTGGTTAACTTAGTGGCTTTAAATAAGCATCAACCCTACACCACGTTGAGGTGTTCGCCTTGTAAGACATCTGAAAAGAAAAGAAGAAAAAAATGATGAATAAATAATAATAATGATGATATTGAAAGTAATTGAGCACAACGTTTAATGATATAAAATTGGTGAAAATATAACAGATAAAAGAAATAAAGAAAACAAATTGAATCAGCAAAAGCATCAAAGTAACTAAAATAAGTAGAAAATCGAAACGAGAAAATAATGAATGGGTACAAAATAAAAGAATACAAATAAAATGGGTAAATGAGTAAAATGAGTACAGATAAAAGAATAAAATAAAATTGCAAATTTTCACCAATATTAGTAAGCCTATGACATGGTTATTGGTTAGGATTAATGAATCTAGCGTTTTAAATAACATATTTTTGTACAATACTTTTAAATTCATTCACAATAGAATGTGGAATTTTCATGGCTAAGGTATGAATTGATCCAAAATAGCAAATCTTGCCCATGGGTCTCGTCGTGGTACATTATTAACTTGGTTGGCACTTAGATTGTCTATTTGTATCCTTTTTTGACAGAAACTTCTGAATTGCTTTGCAGCATTCTTGTTTCCTCTAAGATGTCTGTATATATTTATTCCTTTAGTGTAAAAGGCTCCACAATATTTTCGTTACAAAACAAACGGATGCTTATTTCAATAATCCCCTTCATAGTCAGCAACTTTTTTATGTGTAATGTATTGTTCTTTTTCTTCTTGCTGTAGAGTGGCTCAGAAGCGGAGATTTTATAACTACTTTGGTAATTATTAAGATGATACAAAAATTGAGGGAGAGGTTTTTCTCCCTCTTCAAAAATAAAATGGCTGATTTTCAATCATTATGAGGACATGGAAAAATAAATAAAAGTTTTACATAGTAATAGTGAAAGTACACAAGATAGCGCAGTCATACACCCCATGCGACACATCAATAAATAGATAATTTTTCGATGATTTAATCAGACCAACTAGTATCATCATGTGACACATCATTCGAAAGGTAATTTAATGGAGAATTTTTTTGTTTGATTGATTATTAATTTTAATTGATAGATTATGGTTCACATCATTATCATCACCACTAGATGCTGAAGATCCAGCTTGAGGTAAAGGATTAACTGGGTCATTAGTTGAAGACACTGTGCCATTGTGAACTTCGCCATCTGAACCATTTTGTCTTAACGGGACTAACCTTTGCCCATTAGCTGCGTTCAAGAATAATCGTCTTTTGGCCATAGTGTCCTGTTCAAATCAATAGAATAACATAGCACATGTTTCAACGATCAATGATCTGGCCGCTTCCCGCTGATCTATTGAAACCATTAAAATTAAACGATAAAATACTGAGGCAATACGGGCAGCGACAAATGGTGATAAATTGATGCGTGACATTTTTGAACTAGATAAAAGATTATTCACAAAGGTCAAATAACGGTAAATAAAACAGAACGATGTAAATTTTCAAACTTTCTGACTCCACCCACCTGCGTTTTAGAGTGCATTGAATCTGCCAACATGTCAGTTTTGTATTCGTTATATACCGGTACTGGTTTGGGTCAAAAACATTTGGAACAATAGAATGAAGAAAACCCACTGATAATATGCATGATAAATCTTTTTCTTCCCCTCGGATGTTTCGTAAACAGTAGGATCAGGAACAGTATCGTCAACCTTATCAGACCATGATTCGTCAATTAAGAAAGTAGCAATAATCCATCAGAAAGTACCGAGTAAGTTAGCAGGTATGCCATCAGTAGAAATACAATCGGATCACCAATATACTGACGAGTAGATACAACTAAAATAGATACAATGCACTAGTAATGTAATCTGAAGATAAAATTATCACTAATACATTGTCGAGGTTTGACAACACTCGATAAAATATCAAATAGATGGTCCATACGAAACAATTAAGAAAACAATAAAGATAAACAATAAGAAACCTCCGACAGTTTTCACCTTGACGTTGAAATGCGTTATTTTACCAGTGACCTGAATGACCTTGATCTTTGATATCACAATTGAGTATCGTTCAAACTCATACCATTCAAGTCTAGAGTCTCTTGACTCTTAGTTGCTGAGAAGATCTCAAAAAACATCGCCAAAAATAGCTGAATAGCCTTGCATAAGAGATCGTATTCTGGATTCCACGTGAAGGATAACCCGATAATCAAAACGCGTTTTAATTGAACTGTGCCAAGACACCCGAGCTTCTTCAGGCGAATTATTCCAACGTACTAAATTAGCAGTCCGGTTGAACAAACTCAAGGATCTTTATCATCCTCGTGAGAGACAGGGAACTTTTTCCACTCTAATAAATGAATCTCATGAAAACTAAGATTATAAAATTAGTGAACCCCTCTTCTTCACTTAAAGCACCATGGGATGTATATGTCATCCCATGATAATCTCAATACATATATACATTTTCCTTCACTCTTGGCTCGAAAACATAAAGTTGTAAATTGGTGTTCATTTGTTACAAGAGATGGAGCTAAATGATTCGCTAGTGTGAAATTCATTACACTATATTATTATTCTCATGAAACGAATTAAATACAGAAAAATATAAAAATGAGCAAATTTTTTATAAAATTTTTGGTTATTATTGCTATCTCTTTACAATTGTTTAATTTTAATATAAAATAAATTGAAAATAATAGTTGATGATAGGTCAAAACAGTATCAATGTATAATTTTTGAGTTGTTGATCGACAAAATGTGTATATGGTCGTTGGGTCAAGCACTTTGGATTGTTAATTTGAGCTAAAATGTAAATTGTCTGTCGAGAGCACAACATAATAGTAATTATGAACAGTGATAGTAATTCATCAAACAGGCGTTGAAAAAGTATATTCATCATCATTTTCAGAGTATTCCTTTTGTATCTATTAATAAATGAAATAAAAGTTAAATCAAGTCCATCGAATCCGAACCTTAAAAACCGAAAATTTCGCCATTCGAACATATTTACCGCTCTTTTTGCAGGATAATTTGGTTCTAATTTCAACTTTGATATAGCTTCCAATGTTCTATTAAGACTTTCGTCAAATGGTATGTATTGTACAATGCACTGGACAGTAAAATAAAATGAAGAAAGAGTTAGTTGTAAGTTAGAAAAAAATGCGAACCTGAGCATGAAAAGTTTGAAAATTGGACATTTACCTTGTTGGCCTCATCTGTGGCAGATATTTGATAATCACTGTTCAATGACATTGATTCATCAACATGATCGCCTTTGATCACCGTTATATCATTGAATTCATTTGGATAATTAGCTGTTAAAATTTCACCTTTAACATTTGAATTGTTGATATTATTGAGTGAGGTGAACGTTAATGCATTTTCATTGAATTTCTTATCGTATCTACAATTGATTGTTTTGTGATTGTTTATCATATTATTACTTGTGTAATGTTTTTGATGAACAAAATGTTCACCTTTAATATTATCACTAACTATTGTATTCGTAGTTGCATCGATGTTTGGCTCTTCCGAACTGACCGATCCAACTGAAAAATTAGGGTCTCGTAAATTAGAGGATTGAGTCGATATGGTGAATTTATTGTAACGAGTTGAATTAATAACATCGGGTCCTTGATTGTCGAGCTTTTTAGTTGGTCTGAAACATGAAAATAGTTGAGAAATATCAATAAGTCAATACCTATTCTTAAATTGAGAAAGCACAAAGTTTCTTACTCAATAGTTTTAAGCTTCTTTTTAGGGTCAACTTTATCTTCATGATTACGAATTCTTATTATCAGTATAATAATAATGGCCACCAAGGTAATTGTTAAGATGAGCGCTGAGAACACGACAAGATAGGGATCCAATTTTTTCTCAGTTAAATTATCGGCTGTTCCTAAAGATAAATAAGATAAATTGTTTAGCTAAATTAGTACAAAATTGAAAGGTTTAAAATATATTTCGATAATTTGGTTAATGAATTTTTACCAAGTTTGTGCTTTTGAATGGGAAGCGTTTGAGCAACAAGTGTAGTTGTATTAGAAGAACCTCTAGGATTGGACGAGTACACATCGAATATGTAATTTGATCCAGCCGTTAGTCCGTTGACAAGAAAATTTGGTGCATAAATTGAAGTCAAATTAAAGAGCAGCTTTTCCCTGCGATAGTCATAAACTTGTAAGTAAAATGTTTGATTGAGTCCACCATTATGTCCAGGGGTACATGAGACTGTCAATGATTCGCCAGTTTGATTACTGACAAGACACTCAGTCATACGCTCAGGGCGACCTAAAGTATAAAAGTACACAAGAATTTATATCATTAATTATCATCATTAGAATTATTAGAGTTTGAAATAAAAAGCTAAACCAAATCTTAAGCATGGAAAGAATCATCTGAATTTCGAAATATTTTTAGTCAGAATTTATTACTAGAGTGAAACATACCTGCAGGCATTACGATAAATTGACATGGATTATTAATGATTCCGATTTTATTACGAGCAGAACATATCAAAGTACCATAATCATCTAATCGTCTTGGTGAGTAAAGTAGATCACTTAAAAATAGAGATGATAATGAAGGTTTGGATGATGAAGATTCTGAGCTGGGATAAACTTTCTCAAGTTGAGTATCATTTATTTTCCAAATGATTTCAGTAACACCGGGCTCAGCTTCAATGGAACAGGAAACTCGAATAGTCTCACCTAAGCCAACGATATAAATCGATTTTTGATCTTTAACACAAACCGGAGAATCTGCAAATATACAAAACTAACGATCAATTTTTTTTTCAACCCAAAAAATGATTAAAAAAAGTTTCAAAAAAAGTATGGAAAAGTAAACACTAGTTAATCATATAACCAACATTGAACGTTTTCTCATAATATTAATAGTGATATTGTTCATTACAATTCAATATATTCATCACTTTTGAAACATTTACTGACCAAGACATGGGAATAGAAGTGAAAAATGTTGACTCAATGGTTTTCATCACCTCTTTGTTGATATGATTTAATATTTTCCACATAAATATCGGTAAAATCTATCATGAAAAATCATCATGAACCATTGGAATTTGAATAAATTCATTCATAGTGAGCTCATATATATTGATAGTGTGTAACAATTGTATCATTTTTCATTTGTAAGTAAACACAATTCTCACCTTGAAGTTTTCTTACATCATAAAGGCTTACATGACAATCATCAACTTTATTCAAAGTTTCATGCAACCATTTCCATTCAATAATATATAAGAATAATAATAATACGACCATGATAATAATATACTTGAAAATGATTCTGTAAACTTTGAAACGTTATGATAACTATGGTTTGCACTTTTTAGTTTGTTTTCAATTTCATGGGTAAAATTAGGTAACCATCGGTGTAGGAAAAAAACTGGGTGAATATTTATGAAGCCATTTTATTGACACACTGTGAAAATATGAGTAGATAACGCACCCAAATTCATGATTTCAGATAAGTTCATCTAAAGCTTCAAGAGGGAAAGAGTATCGTTGAAACAAATAAAACTATTCTTAGTGAAAGAAAAAAACAAAACCGAAAACGTGACAAAAGTTTTTGATGAGTTAAACTAAATGAAATGTAAAAAATGAGATTACTCATGATTATCTTCATGAAAAGTTCATATTTTTATCATCATCATCATCATCATGGTGATCATGGTTATCTTACATATATCTTATAAATTTATGTTACTATGACTTTAAGCCTTAAGTATGCAGAGAGTATGACTCTTGCCATGAGTTCAACGAAAGGTTGGATATTGAATGAACACCATGGATACATGAAGCTGATTAAAAATACAAACAAATTTAATCCAATCAGTTTATTGTTTGAATTTTAAGCAATAAAAACTGTAATCATAATAATGTCATCAGAACATTTAGTTTCCATGTTATCATTGTTTTAACCTTTATCTTCATGATGTATTTAAATCAAAATACAAAAAGCGAATTAGTATCACAAGGGAAAGTTTTATTATTGCCAAGAAAACCACATGAAGTACCATGAAAAGTTTTCATTGATGCTGAATCATTAATAGCTTATGAGTCATTATCTTAATCCTTGTCATGAATATTATCACTGTTATTATATATCTTATCAGAATTTCATGTATTTATAACATTCGTAGCTAAATGATACAATGAACAGCCTTTCGTTAATGATAAACAATGTAAATTATAATGAGTAACATGATAATCTTTTTTTTTCACCAAGTGAATTGAGTATTCAATTTTCAGGGAATGAGGTTAAAGTTCAATACTGTGTCCATATCAGAGGTGACACTTTTCCTGAATGGGGTCGAGATCAATAACACATTCTTTGAATATGAACAAAGAATCTTTATTTTCCCTTTGAATCCAACAAATGCTTAAGATACATGATGAATTTACCCATTGATTTCATGCTGCAATTTCATGTTGACAGAATTGATGATTGATGCATCAATAAGTTCATTGTCTCTCACTGATTATTATCATGTGGCTATTTTATGGAAGAAGAGAAAAAAACAAAAACTGTTATCTCAAAATCTGAATATTTACCTGATGCCCTTAAGGTGATACACCAAATTCAATCTGTATCAATTTATTCATTATCTAACCTTTCAGTTCAATCATGATGTAAATTTACCCTAAAGGTTTATCAATGGTATCAATTCATGGTATTGATTTTATTCATTTTCCTCACCTTACCCTTCTACCGGTATTACTTTTTGTCAATGGAAAAAGCTCATCCAATAAATGACCTAAGGGTATTCTTAACTTATCAAAATACATACGAACAAAAAGTTCAATCTCTGTTACACAACAGGTAACAACAAAAGCATACAATAGTTTACCGATATAACGATGAATGATCATGAATACCCTTAGAACTTTTATCTCCCATGTTAACTAATATCCACCTACGAAGTGTAAAACTTTGGACATTTGACCCTATTCATATTAATCACCATGAATTTTATTCTCATTGAGAAAGAAAGAAAGAAAGAAAGAAAGAAAGAAAGAAAGAAAGAAAGAAAGAAAGAAAGAAAGAAAGAAAGAAAGAAAGAAAGAAGAGAGAGAGAGAGAGAGAGAGAGAGAGAGAGAGAGAGAGAGAGGAGATTCTTCAGGAAATTCTGATATAAATTGAAAACAACAGTCGAACAAAAAAATTCATAACAATCGGAAACGGAAATGATGAGACAATTAGTTATTCAGATAAATGACTGTAACTCATTAATAGTAATGTAAATTGAATAATTAGTTGTTTGTCGATTTGGTGATTGTATTATTATATTAGGTACAATTTTATCAGTATTACTAATTGCTAATGATTAAATTAATTCTCTATCTTTGTTTGATAAATAACTTGAATTCTATCTATTAATTGTTAAAACATAAAAAACAATTAGATTAAATAGTAAACATTAGAAGTGAATTTTTTTACTTCATCAATTGGATTCCTGAACTTTAATTGAATTAAATTTATGATAAAACAATTTCAAAGGTAGAATGTTAAATTCAATTAGTTAATCAACAGACACCACATCAGCCTACCCACTAATTATAATAATTAACATTTCCATATATTGAGAATACTTGAAATTATATTAAATATTAATGATAATTTCATTTTAATAATTATCATGATAATCAAGTGACGTTGGAAATTGGCAGAGGGAAATTTTAAACAATCGCATGTATGAATGAGAGAGAGAGAGAGAGAGAGAGAGAGAATGATATTACAATTAGGTAAATGGATTGATATGGTTATCGAGTTAAGTTGGAAGTTGGAAAATGAGATCGTATTTTAATTAGTAGCATTTGTTTCATTGGGAATGAGAAAAATTATCATGAAAAGGGAGTTGAAACTTGATGGATCGTATTAATTGAAAGTCTGAAAGATGATTATTATTTACTTCAATTAAATTATTTTCTTTTCTCAATAATCATAATGATAATATTTTTCTTCAACATTTTCTTTGGATATTTTTTTATCCTTGCCACTTGGTTTTCGAGAAATTTAATTATCAACTCGAAATAGTTGTCTAATGATAATTAAATTTAGATTGTTGATAATTAACATATGATAATGGAGAAGCAGTTTTAATTGCTTATTCTATTTCTTCAATTATCAGTAATTTGTTGAGTCAACTGTTATTAACAGTACAATTTACATGATCATTAGCAATTGACTTTTTGCATTAACCATTAAATGGATGCAACCCTTTAAATTATTGTTGTTGTTTACTCCTTTTGTATATCAACAATATTAATCAAAGTCAAACTGAATGTTTCAAATGATTAGTTCATTGGTTGTTGATTGTGATTAGTTGAGGGAAGATGATAATAATCTTATAGATAGAGTCGATTACTATCAAAGACACTGAATAAAATTAATGATATTGTAAAAACACACAATTTGTTTCTCTTCACGAGTAACTTATCGAGTTTGGTGTTGGTGGAGAGAGAGAAAGAGAAGTTCTAATCTTTCCTCTTGTGAAAATTTATTCATTTGAAGTTTTTTTGGTTTTTTTTTGCTAACAATTGAATAGAACCACGAAAAATTCATTGAACCCATTTGATTGACTGATTGTTGATTAACTAACTGTGATGGTGAATTCAGAAGAGGAAAAAAACTCGAGTCATGTTGCAGATATTGAGTTTCGATTGCAATGATAATGTGATCTAATGAGATTGGAACTTTGACTTTATGGTGAAATAACTTTTAAAATATCAGGGAATTTGAGATTTACACTCTTTTCATTTGATTAGTTTTCAACTTCTATTACTGTTCTCTCTCAATATCGATTGAAAATTAACATGTAATTGACACACCGATGAAAACTGATTATTGTTTACACCTTTGTTTCAGTGTTTAACCATTTAAATGGTTTCAATTTGAGATGAATCCATGATGATCATCAAAGTGGAAACCAGAGATGAATCTGATCTTTTACATTCTCGATTCAATGATGAGTTAATCTTTCAACTAGATTATAATTTCAGGATAAAATGTTTGCGATTCAGGATTTTATGGCAATTTAATTGATTCACTTAATCAACTCGCATTTTCATGTATTTTTACAAAACTATTCACAGAACTTTTGTTAATTTGAAACTGTTAACTAAATTGAATGTATAGCTGAGACTAGAAATTTCCTTATTCTCTCGCAAAGTGGCCTCAAAAAGTCCAATTCCCGAACCAAAATTTTCACCAACTCTAAAAGCTCTCAATGATTAGATTTATGATAGACTGACACAACGATAGATTTTTTTTTCTCACTTGTAGTGATCGATACTTTTTTTATTACTATTCTTTTGTCGCTTCATCATCATCAGCATCATAGTGAAGGAAAAACATGATAACCACCAAATGAGAAAATGTTTCAGTGGAATGAATAACTCCAAACTAATGACAACTAGATATTTTTTTCCCCTTTAGCTCTTATTACATTTATCTAAATCAAGAAACTATTATCATTCCCTTCACCTCAACTAAATCATCGCCAACATCATCATCCACTTCACTCTATTCTATCCTCAAGCTTGGCTCCTTCTTCATCTTTATCTTTACCATTATCTTCATAATCTTTTACATGTCTTCATCTTCAATCCATGAAAAATGTATATCCACTGTAGTTTTATCTCATCTTCATTTTGTATCATGTTTTCCCTTCCTTCAATTCTTATAATAGATTTTCTCCTTCTCCATCTTCATCAGCATTGTTTTTTTCTTCTCC